CCCCCCCCCCCCCCCCCCCTCCCAATTCCCACGCCCTTCCCCCTCGCTTCCCCGCCCCTCCCCCATCCCTCACTTTTTATCATCCTAATAACAAGTACTATATTAATGAAATTTAATCAAGTCCTCTAAAAGAAGGCATACTGATCGACTCTACACTAGAATAATACATTGTAAAAAATAGCTTAGTACGCCTCACCCAACTTTAGAAAGAATAAGACCTAATATAAAATGTTCAAAAAATTGTGGTCCATCTTGAGGTGATGTGGCGGTACCCCGTTTTTCGTGGAATTACGAGTATCATGATTTCTCTTTCGTGTAACCACGATTACCATGAACCCTTTTTCGTAGTATTACACGAGTATCATGATTTTATTTGGCGGCAACATAAAAGCGTTACTGTCCTTTCTTGCTGCATAAATATCTTCCATCTGTTGTTATCACTGCGCCAGCGCATTATAAACCTTTTCGCGATGTCAAATAAATTGCAATTTTAATTTTAGATGATGTATATTTATGTAAAAAGTAAGGGTTAAAAAGAAAGGAATAAAAGGAAGGTGAATAAGATAAATCGGATTAAAAAACCTGAATAAGAATGTTTCGGTCCATTAAGTCGCATACATACCTTTCATCCGTTGTTATCAAACAGCGATATTACGAAATAACAGGGTAGGAGATAAGGGATCAGTCTAAGTATCATGTGCAAGAAGGCATAAGCCGGGCTGGCAAGAAGCATGGCAATTTTCTTCAAAAAATAACAAAAATTCGAAAAAAAAAATGACCTGGAATTGCCGTTCCTTGGGCTTTGTTGCCGTCATTTCGGTTCCGTGCTGCGCCTGCTGATCACTGTTACACGTACTTACACCCATTGCCACATCAAACGACCGTACCCTGTACTCATCCACTCACACAGTCGGCGTCGAACCTCAAAAACAACAACAACAACAACACTCTGCGAGCCATCGATCATCATCCAACAACAAGTTCAACGAAATGCAAAAACAGGCGCTTGCCCG